CAGTTACGTATTGCGCATAAACTTTTCCTGTGTGGACAGTAAATGTCATTAACCACATTTCTATAAGCGGATGAATACGTGACATAAAGGTAATGATGGGGAGTTGAGACATCAGGTTCCAGGGGTATTTGAAGTTGATGGTCAGAGATCTGGGGGCATATGTAAATACTGAATAGCTTCTAAGGTAGCTAAATAGTTAAGATTTAAGTCAGCTGAGCGAACATCCTATGAGGAAAGAAGAAGCCAGAGTGGGTAAGAAGACTAGTGGTAGCAAAATTTGAGAAATGTTAACTTTTACTGAGTGGAATCGGGGTGCAGGTCTGGATTTAGATAAAGGAATGTAAAGGAATTTGAGAATCCACAAACATGTTTTTTTTTTTTTGTAGGGATAGGGAATAAGAGAGAGGAGTAGGTGGGGAGGATCGCATGTACAGCTTTGGTGTGATTCTGAAATATTTTGGCAAAAATATGCTATCACTCTAGAAAAATATAATGTATATACATATATAGTGATGTTGCGAACTTGCTGCGAACGGTTCGCGACATCACTATACATAAATAATATGAAAGTATTAGTTACAAACTATACATAAATTAATAGTCACAAGGCATACAATACTAGTTGCAAAATTGTAGGGGGATATTGACAAAGGCGGATATTGACTTAAGTGAAAAATGTCTGTCTTGATTAAAGGTAACTACAGCTTAAAGGACCACTCTAGGCACCCAGACCACTTCAGCTTAATGAAGTGGTCTGGGTGCCAGGTCCAGCTAGGGTTAACCCATTTTTTTTATAAACATAGCAGTTTCAGAGAAACTGCTATGTTTTATGAATAGGTTAAGCCTTCCCCTAATCCTCTAGTGGCTGTCTCATTGACGAAGACACTAGAGGCTGCGATACTTCTCACTGTGATTTTTCACAGTGAGAGCGCATAGCGATCTATAGAGAAAAGCATTGTAAATGCTTTTCTATAAACGAGCTGAATCTTGTAGCGCGAAACCTGGCGCGTGGCAGCATTCAACACCGGCGAAAGGCGGATCGGAGGAGGAGAGAAGGAGGAGAGCTCTCCGCCCAGCGCTGGAAAAAGGTAAGTTTTTAACCCTTTCCCCCTTCCAGAGCCGGGCGGGAGGGGGTCCCTGAGGGTGGGGGCACCCTCAGGGCCCTATAGTGCCAGGAAAACGAGTATGTTTTCCTGGCACTATAGTGGTCCTTTAATGTATTTGTTTTGATGAGTATAGTCAGTCCCTGTAGGCTTTTTATTGTAAACAATGCCTTTTCAGAGAAAAGGCAGTAAATAAATTATAGCCTAGGAACACCTCTAGTGGCCACTCCTCAGATGGCTACTAGAGGTGCTTCCTGGGGCAGTGCTGCACAGAGTGCTGCACAGAGTGCTGCACAGAGTGACTGACATTCAGTATCTCCACCTTCTGCATGAAGACACTGAACATTCCCTATAGAGATGCATTGATTCAACAATTCAATGAGATGCTGATTGGCCAGGGCGGTGTCTGGCCAGGGCGGTGTTTGGCTCTGCCTTTGACCTGCCTCCTTGGCTGAGATCATCAGAATTGACAATCTCAGCCAATCCAAAGCTTTACTATGGGCACAATAAACATTATGATTGGCTGAGATCATTACTTTTGATTATGTCAGCCAAGGAGGCAAATTGGGGGAAAAGATTGGATATAAGATAAGATTTTACTATATTTAGGGGGGTAAGGGGTGGCTAGATAGTGTTTTTAACACTTAGGGCTCAGGAGTACATGTTTGTGTTCCTGACCTTGTAGGGTTCTTTTAAGTGCTGGTTTGTAGATATTCAATAAACACAAAAATGTAATGGACTAAAAACAACTTGCAAAGTTCAGTCTAAAATAATCAAGCTCTGATTTTTTTCTCAAATCAGCTAGTTTTGCCTGAATCTTTCATTAGTTTATTTTGTTCAATTCACTACATCTTGGTGTTTAATAAATAAATCTCACAGGAATGTATTAACTAATCGAAGAATTGTGGACAATTTGCAAGTGAACCTCAAAATATAAGTAAAAATCGCTAGAATAGAAACATTCAGCTATTCTTTTGTCTCTCCTGGCTAGTTTGGACGAATATTTTCATTTTCTTTTTCAATTTTCTAAAATGTCTAGTCCGGCAAATTAACCCCATGCAGGCTCAGTCCCTTGCCCTATGAATTTTGAGGATTTATTGACAAACGGAATAAAAGATGAGCCATTCCTTCAAAATGTGTTAAAATTGTATTTACTGGCAGTGTAGAGTTATATTATTTAGTCTTATCCTGCACATGTTGATTTATTTAGTTTAAATGCATGCACTAGGCTGTGTGCTTTTCCTGCTAGATAGAAGAATATTTTTAAGCATTACATCATAATCTAAATAGGATTATCCATGCAGAATTACAACACAACATATTTATTAATGTAATAATTTTCAAAACTATCTATATGTCTGTCTGTCTATCTGTCTCTCGCTATCTATCTATCTATCTATCTATCTATCTATCATCTCTCTCTATTTATATCTATCTATCTATCTATCTATCTATCTGTCTCTATCTATCTATCTATCTGTCTCTCTCTATCTCTATCTATCTATCTATCTATCTATCTATCTATCTCTCTATCTGTCTGTCTGTGTCTCTCTATCTCTCGCTATCTATCTATCTATCTATCTATCTATCTATCTATCTATTTATCATCTCTCTCTCTATTTATATCTATCTATCTATCATCTATCTTAATATCTATCTATCATCTATCTATCTCTATCTCTGGCTATCTATCTATCTATCTATCTATCTATCTATCTCTCTCTCTCTCTATCTGTCTATATCTCTATCTATCTATCTATATATATATCTATCTGTCTCTCTCTATCTCTATCTATCTATCTATCTATCTATCTCTCTATCTGTCTGTCTGTGTCTCTCTATCTCTCGCTATCTATCTATCTATCTATCTATCTATCTATCTATCTATCTCTCTCTCTCTCTCTCTATCTGTCTATATCTCTATCTGTCTATCTTTCTATCTGCCATGTATCTTCTCTGTCTAGTTTTCTCTCTCTTGCTATGGAAACAAGTACTGTATCTGAAAATAACGCGTTGCTAATATGTTCTTATTGAGGATTGTTCCACCCATGCTAGCTGTTTAGAAAACTGGGATGCTCCATTTATCTGTATTTGATCTATACGTAACCTTTGTTTGTCTATACAACATTGATCCAAGTGTAGTAATTTTTCTATCGATTACATATACTGCTATTACGATACAGAACTATTCACTAATGTGAGAATACCAAGTGAATTCAAAGTGAATTTCAAATTTAAGGCCAAAATAGCTGAAATGGAAACATTCTCTAAACCAACTATGCTTCCAGTTCGGCTACTTTTGCCTGAAATTTGATATTCTCACTCTAGTAATTAGAGAGTTGAGGGAAGGACTACTTACTACATATATACACAGGTGAGGATTGTACCACCAAAACATACAATTTAGATGGAGGGAGGGGACATTTAGCACTCTAAATGTTGTGAACTACATCTCTCCTTATTCTTTGCTAGCATTATGACTGTAAGAGCATTGTGGGAGATGTAGTCCAAAACATCAGGAGTGCCGGGGGTTGCCTACCCATGATTTAGAGCTTGGAACAGCTCCAGTAAACGTGAGTGTCATAATTTTCGTTATACGTAAGTGCCCAATGGCAGTGTCTTTCTGCAGTACATGTGACTTTTATTTACCATCATGTTCTTTTTTTCTGATGTTACTGTTAATGATTGAACATTAATTTCTTTTACTGTTCTAAACTTCGGGCGATCACCACGGAAACCAATGGGAAGTGTCTGTCAATGGCTGTATCGTTTGAGCTTAGCTCCAGAATTGCTCATAAAGCCCTTCTGAAACCCTTCTTTTTTTTTTTTTTATTTTTGCAGTGCGTATAGTGGTTACAGGCATACATATGGTACCCCAACGGCATTCCATATGCTGATATCTAGGCATTAGTTACAGTGGGGGGTAGATAGACCATGCACTTTTTTTTTTTTTTTGTTACGTTAAGATAACAAGCTAATAGGTGTCACTTTATGGTATAACATGCTTGGTTAAAATTGCGTTTAACTTCAACTAATTGCACATCAGATTGTAGTAATATTGCCGTGACAGTAATCTAAAACAATTTAAGACATAGAGGTTGCTTGACAAATTAATCCAGAAGGGCATCCAAATGCAGCTCTACCAGACGGTACATAGTTGTAGAAATCAACAGTACATACAATTTAACATGAGTATAGTAGACGCTTTTCATTCCCTGAGTCTAGTAGGGCACTTTGCTTAGTAAGGTATGCATTCTGGAATATCATTCTATGTGGCATTCTTACTGGTTCTGCATAGGCCTATACTAGGATACAGGCAACAAGCTAGGCACATAGTAGTGAATAGGCTGTGCTGGAGTTACAGGCTATTCTGGCGTGTCACATTTTTAAATATTAGAGGATTAGCTGTCTAGACAACAGAGTAAATTTTAAAGTAGGTAAACTTATGCAACATAGTGAGCATGTCAATGGGTTACATATGCACGGATTAAACCATCAAAAATGCGTGAGTGTTTAATTTATTTTTACCCCCCCAGGCCCACTTCAGCAAGATGAAAGTCCTTGGCTGTGTGGCTTGAGACCCGTCCATGCAGTACAAAGGCACAGGAACCCGGGAACCGCCGTGTCAGTTGCAGTCCAGCCGAGTGTCAGTGTGCTAGTCCCCCTGTGGTGTGCCTGCGGTGCAATCCAGCGCCTGCCTCGGGCAGGAGACAGCTCCCCGCCGCCATGTTGTTTTCCAGTGCGATCTTGTGGTCGCGTGCTGTCGGTCGCGTGTTCCCGCTTCTGCGCGGCTGTCCGAGAGGGTCAGCGTATGTGGCTCCGTCGCCGAGGCTCCGTCTCTCACCGTGAGTGTGCCTGGCTGTGTGCGGGTGGTCGCTTGTAGGCGCCGGTCTCCACTCGCTGTTTGTGATGATGCCTGCGGAGGTACAAAGCGGCTCCTGCTTCTCCACCACGGTTCAGCTTGTCCCAGGGTGCCTGCCTGTTTCTTTGCTTCCCATGTTGGCTTGCCGGCGGCGTACAGTGGGGACGTGTTTCTTACTTCATGCTTGGGTAGCTCGCCATGTGGTCTCCGCCATTTTGGTTGCGGACTCTGCGTTTTGGGGTAGCTTTGTAGCAGCCTGGAGTGCTGGTTCTTCCGCATGTCGGCAGGCCCAGGGTGGGGACCGGGATCACCCCCGCCGGTCCAAAGGGGGGGGAGACAGGGCCGGACCCCCCTAGCCTCATGCTTCGTCTTCACCGCTGGTGGGCAGGATAGCTGGGCAGCGGCCGTCCACCCCGCTCACCGCCCAAGCGGTCCCCATCGTGGGTGACGGGGAGAGCGCCCCTCCGAGGGACTAGAACTTTGCAGCAAGCCTCTCCTCGGAACCAGGGTGGCTTCTTGCACTGGGTAGCTGTTGTCAGTCGTTAGGTAAGTGTAAAGTCGAGTTTTAGTGTTAAAACTGGGAGAGATTGCAGGAGCTGCACGATCGTGCGACCGCTCAGCATGGCGGTCCGGCCCCGCCCCCGAAACCCTTCTTTTTAACTTAGAAATATATGTGAATTCTATCAGCAGGTACCTGTTAATATCTGTTAGCCGAATCACTGGTTTTCTCTTGAAGTCTGTGGGAAAGTGTCTATTTATTTAATAGCAAGAAATAGCCATATGTCTGGTTGTAAAACACAGCCTTTGGAAATTGTAACATGAAGGAAAAGGTCTATGGCTTCAGACAGGAGTAGTTTTATTTTTGTGTCTGTCTGCACTTTACTGTACTTAAATGTTCTAAGTACTTTGGGAGACTCTTTCAAAATCGACTACTTCATGTAGGGATAAATGTCTTAATTACCTGTTTGGATCCAATTCATGTTCTAAGTGCTAGTTTTGTCAAATACCAAAAAAAGAAAAAAAAAAAGAATGATTACAGATAGAAAGAAAAGTGTCCACTGGACCTGCCATATCGGAAAATTTGAAAAAAGCCACCATATAGACCCGAAGGAGACAAGAAAATCTGAGATATGTAAACAGTGATACATTTCTCTTACTCTAAGAGCTTGGCATTTAAAGGAACACTACAGTCACCCAGACCACTTCATTTGGATTGCGATGTCCCTGTCCTTTAAACCTGCAATATAAAAATGTAATGTGCTTACCTGTTTTTGGCATCTGCGCTGCTCCCCTCGTTGGGCTGTAAGAGCTGCATGCTTCACATGGCCACGCTGCTCCCCTCCTCAGATTAAACAGGAAATACTTCATACGTAACTTTCGGCCCAGCGAACTGCTCCCTCTGCTGGTTCATCGGGCCAAAATGCTCTTAGCTGTTTTCCTCCCTGCATAATATTAGACGTTGCCCATTTGAATGGCTCATCTTTTATAAATTCAAATGCTGTGACGTCAATCCCGCCCTTAAAATGACCATGTTATGCAGGTGACCCAATTATCAAACATTTTGGAGTTGCAGAGATGATGTGGACCAATCAGAAACATTAATTGCCTATATAATGCTAATTTAGGCCCATATTCCTTGTTCTATCATGGTTTCTGCCTTGATACATGTTAGTGATTATAGTAAGTCTCTCTTGATATTTTGATATTGACCTCAGCTTGTATTTGACTTTATGCATTTCTGGTATCCTGACCCAGCTTGTTATTCCATTTATTCGTATTTCTATATTCCTGACCTTGGCTATTACTTTCTAGTACCTCTGTTTGTGGAATTCGCCATTCTTGTAAGTTGGGGTACGACCTTGTGACAAAAAGTAGCAGTTTTTGAGAAAACTCAGATGTTTACATTGCAGGGTTAACTTCTCCTCTGTAAGAAGCAATGAATTGGCACCTCCAAGGAAGTCCAGGGCCTCCTCCGTGACTTCTACAGGAGTGTTACCAGAACTGCGGGAGCCTCTGCGCAGGATCAAGGTGAGTAAAAATGAATTTTAAAAAATAATTTTTGCTCCCGAGGGGAACAGCCCACGAGTAGGGACAGGAACACTATAGAATTAGGAATACAGATTTGGTTTCCTAACGCTATGGTTCCTTTAACGATTATATGGAGAGGCAGACTGAAATGTAGATTGTTAACAGCAGTATGATATATTAATGGCCCATTTAATGCCAAGTGAAAATGTGTGATGCCATCAACGTATAATTGTAATACTAATGTACACAATAGAGTTTAAAGGAACATGACTAATAACATACCCACTATGGCCCAAATGATGCGTTCGGTGTGGCCCTGCACAGCCCTGATTAGCTAACTAGATTCCCCTTTGAATGAAAATTACGAAGCAGGATCTACGGAAAAAAGGTGAGACACAGGTAAGCATCAAACTGTATTAAGGGGGTTAACCTATTATGAGATGGGCTCTCCTGGCATCATAACCACTACAATGGCCTGAAGTGTATATGGTGTTTAAAGTGTTCCTTTCAGTGGAGTACAATATTTAAAAAAATATTATTTCTAAATTTGTGTTGGTTAACTTAAGAAATATACATTCTCATGAGACCTCAATATCTGTCTTTAGTAAACATCAAAGAAATGCAAAGGCTCATTTTATTCTTAATTATGAAGAGTCAGAAAGAGAATATTGCAGACGGGGCTCTAGAGTGGCAGGTCGGAGTTTTGCTAATTCTGTTCATATTTTCTTTTTAAAGCACTGAATATATATTAAAATATTTCATCCAAATGTCAAATACACGAAAAACAAACAGATAAACAAGCCTGTTAAATCAACGGTGTACGGGCAAAAAGGAAAATATCTAAGGTAAATATTTCTTACTGAGCAAAACACATGAAGAATTTATTTTTTGGGGATTGAGTATAATCTTCTGTGAACAATGAAAGAGAAAATATCACACACGCATGTGCACACAAACACACAAACACACACAGACACACTTGCTCAGTAATCACGTGACAAGTCTAAATACCAAAGCAGCCAGTAAATATATCTGCCCCGTAACCTGCTTAAATATCAGCAAACTCTTGCCCTGTGCTCTGATGAAAAACTAAATTGGAACAGAGATTAATGGACAAATGTGCGCACCATAATCACTTCAATGGATTGAAGTTGTTATGGTGCTTGGAATCCATGAGTGCAGGGTCCCATGAAAGTTTATTTGCCATTTGGATGAGATTCTTAGTCCCTGGAAGCCTGAAGCCCAGCCTCAATGACAATATGGCGGAGACAGAGCTATGCTTTAGTTGTGCATAGCAAATCGTACCAACGATTGGGACACTGACGGCCTACTACTACCCCTGGTATGGTATAAAGCCGAGCATAGCTCTGACTCTGCTATATTGTCATTGTACGGTGGGCTTCAGGTTGCTGGGGACCATGAATTGGTAGAAGCCCACCTGGCCAACAGATTCCAGGCACCATAACCTCTTCATTCTGTAGAAGTAGTTATGGGGTCTACAGTGCCCATTTAAAGATGTAGTTTTCATTATTTATTTTTACTCTCCCTAAAACACATCAAGGGTACACAAGGGAAAATGAACTGCATGGTGGGTACAGAAAAGGTCTGAAATTATAAGGGGGACATAAAAGAGAACAGGAATCTGTGGTCAGTAGAGAGGAGGATAAGAAAAACAGAGGTTGGCTTACGAGGTGGGAGGCTGTTGTTTCTCCTGTCCCTAGAGCTCCAGCATTAAGATGGGAAGAGACGAGTCATTTAAGGTAATATGGTAGAATTTCCGACATAAAATATAACGTAATGCCTGTACAGCTAGACTGTCTTACAATGCTAATCACACAAAGTATTATGCTGTTACTATGGACAATTATGCTGTTACAGCGGTTGTTTGGCTGTTGTACTCTGTGATTGTGGATTTGAGTGTTCCTGTTAAGGGCAAATAGTGTCCGCAGCGTGTGGGTTTTTCAGAAAGGCCGTTGTTTGGCTCACCAGTACGCTCTCATACATTCATAAATGGCATTTTATATTTAGCAAGACATATAATGGACCCGTTAACATCACCCACCATAACTTGAAATAGCTATAATTTATTTTGTTTCCATCCAGTTATTTTTCTCATCAACAGATCATTCATATTTAAAAAAAAGTATCAAAAAAACAGATTGCTGTATTGTTTGCTGTGAGACATTCAAGGACACCTCACTATACAAGAATTGTGTTTCTTTCTCAGCACAGACACTCAACTGTTGAACTTATTTAACCATATATATCACTTTTCCTCAATTGAATGCTTAACTTAGAAACATAGATACATAGAAACATAGAATGTGACGGCAGATAAGAACCATTCGGCCCTTCTATTCTGTCCAATTTTCTAAACACTTTCATTAGTCCCTAGCCTTACCTTATAGTTAGGATAGCCTTATGCCTATCCCACACATGCTTAAACTCCTTCACTGTGTTAACCTCTACCACTTCAGCTAGAAGGCTATTCCATGTATCCACTACCCTCTCAGTAAAGTAATACTTCCTGCTATTAATTTAAAACTTTGCCCCTCTAATTTAAGACTATGTCCTCTTGTTGTGGTAGTTTTTCTTCTTTTAAATATAGTCTCCTCCTTTACTGTGTTGATTCCCTTTATATATATAAAAATGCATAATTGAATGCATGCGTGCATGTACTCATTGGTGGCATATATGAGCAAAGAGTATTTTTTAGAAAAATAAATACAAATTTAGGCAGTGGAGTGTTCCTTTAACATTTTTCTGCTGAAACATGGTATCAATTGAAATATAAAAGTTTATTTAGGCACATCTGAATAAATCATAATAGCAGAACTGTAAACATGCTCCAATTCAGCTATCATTACAGCTTGGCTATTTTGGTCTTTAATTTGAGAATAGTTTAAATTCACTTAAAATTCCTGACAATTCTCATTTTGGGGAATAGTCTACATGATTTTTCTTTTAGCAGAGTGATCATTTATTCTGCTTACAGTATAGCAATTTTCCCTTACTCTAGCAAGAGAAACTAACCTCTAAGTGGCTTCAGAATGTACACACTGACCCAATCCTACCTCGCTAGTAAAGGCCGTGTTTCATAAAATGTTATTGTGTTAATTTATACATCTTGAACTCTTTGCAGGGAGTCCTTTTAACGGCGGTAATATGGCAACTCCATTATAACTGAATAGTGTGTTTTGAGGAGTTAATTTAGGTTTGCAGTAACTGTGAAATAGAAATAACTAACACAC